CAGCTTCTCGTTGTCCAATTGTATCTGTGAGAGCGAAAAGTTACACAAAATTAATCAACTTTGAAACTTATAAGCAAATAAATGTTATTCACCTTTTGTACTACTATATATATTTTTATTTATATATATTAAACAAAATATAGAGTACGAGTGAGCAAAGCTTAAGCTTACATATTATCATTGCATACTTTGCGGCTGCTCTTTGAAACTTATGTTCACTAAAATATATTGCATACTTTTATGCGCTTTTGAAATTAGACTTTTATTTTATTATATTGAGAGCTTTACTTCAAATTTAAACAACAAAAATTATTTTTATTAAAAATTAAAACAGATTGTTAAGTTATTATTATTATAAAATTTTATTTTTAAATTTATATAAATATATTTTTATTTTTATTATATTTAATCAATTATATTGTCCACACATATGCAACCTATCTTACATTAATTGCAATACATTATTTTTTTTTTCATCAAAATTAAATTTCTCGAAATTACATTTTATAATTAAGTCTAATACTAATTTGTAATTTAAAAATTTTTTTTTTTATTTTCATTTAATGATGTATATAAGTATTTCCAAGCATAACATCAGACTACTCCTATTGCTATAATCTAATATATTTTAATTTAATTTTTTACTGTACTAGTTTTTAACTTTAATTTCCTCTTCTAGTAATAAAATACTTGTTATATTAACATACTATCCAAACTTTGTTCTTACGCTTAATTTTTCAATTTTTGAGCTACTTACCGGCATTTCACATCGATCCAACATTCTGCTGAGCTATGTCTGTATGAATGTTTGTGTGTATATTTTGTGTGTGTGTGTGTGTGTATGTGCGTGGATGTGGACTTTCCAAAGTTAACCAAAATGGCACAGTGAGTGCTGTCGCCTCAGGGTGTTGCTTAGTGGTTGGTTATTCTAAGGGAACCGGCCACAAAGAATTATTATTGATAACCAGCTGTTGGGCAATAGATCTGCGGGTCGCACAACATTTGTGTTGTTGTTGTTGTTATTGCTGTTGTCGTTGGTTAACTGCAAAGGAAACAAGTTGAGTTCGATAAGTAAAAATATCAAATAAACACATTAATTATATGCTAAAACTGAAACGCCAGCTCGCAGTGAAACCCTTGACTTTAACCCTTGACGGGCAACCAATCAAAGGAGTAACAACAACAATAAATATACATGTATAACTCGAATACGCGATGCGCATACAAAGTGCAAACCATAAATAAAATACTCAAATGCTCAAATGTTTCCCTCTTAAAAAACGTTAAAATATCAAAAATGAGGTAGAAAAGCTGGAATTGCGAGTTGCAGAAATACCCTGTAATTTTTTAAAATTAATTTGAAAATGATGAAAGCAAAATTAAGCTGAGGTTTAAATTTAATCCTAAAGATCTTTCGATGCAAGCAGAAATTTAATTTAAATTAAATTAAAAATATTTTATCAAAAAAAAAATATTTAAATAAAAAAATTATTATAAAACAAGATAAGAAAAATATATTTTTATAATAATAGTATACATATTTAGCTATATTTACTATAAGTAATCGAAAGCCCAAAAGCCTATAAATCAAAGCTGATAAACAACATTTAAATGAAATTCTTCCATTGCATTACCATAAATCTTTGCCTTTTATATACCCCATTCATCGATTTCACAATGAGTATCATGTACAAAAAATATTCAACGACTTGTCAAAACATAACCATAACTAACTCAAAACCCTCGCCCCCCACTGCAGCAACTCGAATGTCAGTCAACGGCATTTAGCAGTTTTCATTGTCAAGGCGGTGTTTGTCGGCAAATCATCAAAAGGCCCCAAACTTTATTAATATTTTTCTTTTTTTGGGTATTTTTGGGGGAGGCATTCGAAACAGGAACTTGCCTATGCACTTGTGGGCCACAACATAAGCCGGCGGCGCACGGTTGGCCTGCAACTTGGTAACCAAAAAGTCAGGGCCAATTATTGGCTTTTTGTGTGCTGGCCCTTTATGTTGTTTGTGTGTGCATTTCGTAGTGTTGGGGGCGTTTCAGTCACAGACATTCAGTCATCAAGTCAGTCAGGCAGTTGACTCTGTGTGTGTGTGTTTGGGCTGTGCATTCAACGATATGCATAATAATCCTAACCCTTTACCTAGGGGTCGCAGCAACCCCTCGAAATGTGGGCGCACAAGTTTGCTGCGCTTCACAAGTTTCTCTATGAATAGCAACATAATGAGTTAACAGTTAGGCGAGTACACTGAGCGCATATGTGAGGTAGCTCTTAA